TCTCTCTCTCTCTCTCTCTCTCTCTCTCTCTCTCTCTCTCTCTCTCTCTCTCTTTCCTTTCTTTCTTTTGGGGGAGGGGGTTCTAGACAAGGTTTCTCTGTGTAGCTCTGACTGTCCTGGAACTAGCTCTGTAAACAAGACTGGCCTTGAACTCAGAGATCCCCATCTTTACCTCCCAAGAGCTGTGATTAAAGGTGTGCACCGCTAGTGCCCAGCTTGTAAGGCATTTTCTTGATTAATGATTAATTGAAGGGCTCAGCTTACCATAGCAGTGACACCCCTGGGCTGGTGGTCCTGGGTGCTATAAGAAAGTAAGCTAAGCAAATCATGGGGAGCAAACTAGTAAACCACACTCTTCTATGGCCTCTGCGTCAATCAGTTCCTCTCTCCTGCCTTGAGTTCCTGCCCTGACTTCCCTGGATGATAGACTGCAAGCTATAAACTGAAATAAAGCCCTTTCCTCCTCAGGTTGCTTTTGATCATGATGTTTTATCAAAGCAATAGAAACCCTGACCAAGACAGTGTTACTTTAGCTTACTTCTTAAGAAGCAAGGTGACTTAGCTTGCAAATTTCAAGTACAGGAGAGAAAACAACTCAATAAAGGCCAGTGAAAGAAGCCACCAGTTTCCTTAGGTGATACCAAAATTTCCCCCAGTTGGGTTTCCTTTTCTTGCTTTTAGTCTTATAAACTCAGCTCAACAAATAGGTGACCATACCTGGTTTCCGTCGATGAGATAATCATACTTGGCGCCATAGACTTTTCCTACAGACACTGCAATAGCATAAGCCACCACAGCAATGGAAAAGGATGCAGCCAGCATGTCGGAAAACAGGCCCACAGATGGAAGTGCAGGAGGCAAGAACCTAGTAAGTGAAAAACTGCTGTGAAGGTTTGACAGCTTTTCCCCAACCTTACCAAATGCTGTGTCCACTCAGTCACATGATACACGCAGAAGGACGTGGCCCAAGGAAACAAAAGCACATGAGATGCGTAAGAAGGAACATCTGCTTTTCTGGTTTTTAACCAGAAGATAGTGCTAGGTCACCGGCTGCTTGAAAGTGTTTTTGTTTTTATGCGTCTAACATGAAAAAATCTGTCACTATGGGTCCACGCCACTGCACATGTAAAATTTTTCCTCATACAATTTCACATTCAAGGTCTTTGGTGATACAGGAGATTCTAGGTATATTATAAAGTTTAGTCTGTGTGAAAAGATGTCAGTTCTGTTGAAAAGAAAGAATATATGATACTGAAAGAACTCAGCTAAAAATTCTAAAGAGCATGACATTTAAAAATCTTAATTTTAAGAAGAAAAAGAACCCTCATCCCACATTAAGTTTATGCAATTATAATCATCCTGCACAGTCACTAAAATGTTAAAACAATGATTGTGTGTTCACAGATTGTTTAACAAAACTAGAAAGATATAAACACAATTATGAGATTTCTCCCTACATTTAAAAGTTTGGAGGAAGAGCTTCATTTACCTATAGAATGTCCATATAGTACAATCCCAAAAGTCCCCAGTCATTAAAACAAATCCCTCCACCTGTGTATCTTATAATTAAATAAAGATAAAATGGGAGTGGGAGTTGTAGAGACACACAGCAGAGAAGTTCCGAGTTAGTGACTTCAGAGTAGTCGCAAACCTGTCTCTCTCCTTTTGATGAGAACCGCAACTTGGAAGGGAGAAATGAGTGGCTTGAAGTTTTAGTGGGTCCATGTTGGAGACTCTGCTGCTGTGAAGACTTGTCCCCAGCAGGATTAATTTTCAGACTTATCCTCCATCCCTTCTCCTATCCTATGTGTAGGCCCCAGAATAGAACCCAACCGCAGTCAGCGTGTTAGAAACAACACACTTGACTGACGCAGTATCAAGTCACCTGCTAGTCTAGATTTCGTCTTAGATCTCACTTAATAGGATGCTTCCAAAACCCAGGGAAGTTTACTTCAGGTAACTAGTGCTCTATCAAAGCTAAACCCTGAAAAGGTTTTAGTTTTGATCGCAGTGGGATGCTCACTGGCTCCATGACTGTAGCGTTCTCCAAATATTAGCCAATCCTTAATTACTGGGGTTTAAAATTGTGAGGTATGAAGTCAAAGGACTTCAGTCATTGAGTGACTTTATGACTTTGGGCATGTAGTATAAACTTAATAGATTGTTTCATTGGCTGCCATAGGATGACTGTGCCATCTTCACATAAAATTTAATGAGATATTATAGTGTAACTAGTTAGTTCCTTGTTACTAGTGGTGCTCAGCCTAATCTGGAAGAACCTAAACCCACAGCAAGCACTGGAGCAGGGACTCACGGGGCAGGCATGTGATGTCGTCCATCTCTGGCCTGGGAAGGAGATTTGCATTTACACATTTCTACATAAGCATCTGTGACTACAAAACAACTGAGTCTTTAGGGTGGAGATTCCGCAGCTCAAGTTTCATTGCAACTTCCTTCATTGCTTTTCTTCCAGTCTTAGCCTTTACCACCTAAATGTTGATCTTCTACTGTAAAATTTCTCAAAGTTACCTGATCAGAAGAGTCATTTGAGACACTTTTGAAAAAGAATCGCTTCCAGGCCTTCTCCAAGCAGTCTGAATACATAGGTTTGAGGTGTGAAGCAGGAATTTGTGATAAAACAGGTCAAGGATGTTACCAAAGGGACATTTCTAACACTTGAATGGGTAATGTGCAATATGAGCTTTGTGAACCAGTTGTTTTTTAGATATCTTTAAATTGGTATTAGAAAAGCTGTAAGATTTTTACTCAAATGGGACCATTTGCTGTGGAAGCACTGAGGAGACCCTGTTGCAAGCATAGAAAATCTAGGACAACACAGGCTACCATTAACTGAAAGGAAGAGAAACGACCGCTCATCGACTGACCCCAAGCCTACTTACAAATGGTGTAGTCAATATTATAGATGTGGTGAATATGTAGGCTTCCTCTTAACTGTAGTGTGAGTTACTTCATCTGTTCTGCATTTTTTATGAGAGTGCTCAGTGGCATTTCACAAGCTTGAGTTGAGGCTTCAGCTGTGTGATTACCCATGTCTTACAGAAGAACTTTCCCAGGGCCACATGAGCTGACCGTGACAGAGATGGATTAAGGACCTTGGCCTTGTACTCTTTTAATTCACAAAATGTCCAAATATATGTGAAATTTACATGAAAATAATGAAACTTATTTATGGGTATGAAAGATAGTATTTTTATGTGTGATTGATTACATGGTAGGGAATTTAAGCCAAACAGCCTAGATTCCTTAAACAAATTGTTCATAATGCAATCAATGCTAATTGTGATTATGCTCCTATTACACTATAAGTATACACACATATTTTAATCAGGAGTCTGGTACTGAGTGTACATGTCCTGTCACACTGTAAGAAAATGGAGCATGTATGATTTGCGTTTATCAACCAGCCTGAACTGATCTCCAAATGCACTGTTCATCTGATGCTTTGTGCACATGGTATTTCTTCAAGATCCCACAAAAGAAAGACTATCGGTGAAGCGAAACTGGCAATAAAAAGTTTCATTTAAACAAGCACTACCTTAGTTTATTGGTGCTATCTGAGAGGAATGCCACACTCACCCACTTGGGATGGACTTCACAATGCCAGCATTGTAATTTTTTTCCAAGTCGGCCCCATAGGAAATGGCACTGGCAATTATTGTCTGAAATAAAAGAAATAAATGGGAAAAAAAACCAACTCCATTAACTTTAACAATTGCTTGCTTGTCAACCTAATTAGTGCTGAATTTTATAACCATATAGTCTACTTACCACAATCACTTCTATAGGAATAGGAACTGGGATTTTGTGTTTAAATCGGTCATTTAATTCCTTAACAGCCATACAGATGATGATGGTAAGTAATCCAGCAATGAAATCCGCAATATTGGTGTCACCGATGTTCTGAAAAGTCTCAATTAGTGTCTGTAAAGAGAACATGGGTGTATATGACATATGCTATACAGACACATACATAGAAGCAATTCTCCCACATGAACAGTCATGGCACACCAAATGGCATATGTGAGTCTTATGCAAAAAAAAAAAATCTTAACTATAGGACAGGCAAGATGGCTCAGTGGGTTAAAAAAGATCTGGGTCCCATCCTCAGAAACCGTATGAACGAAGGAAAAACCCGACTCCTGAAAACTGTTCTCTGACCTCCATACCTTTTTTGTAGCACACTTGAAAATACACATGTACATATATACAAATAATTAAGTTATTATTTGAAATTCATAAAAATATGTTGTCTAATACAAGGACCACTAAGCAATAAAATTTCTAAAATACACATTTGCATAAATAATATAAAACTATTATTAAAATTATAAAAATATTGACTAATACAAGGAGCATTGAGAACATGTAATTTCTAACACACACGTGTACACAGAGCTACTAATTGTGATTAACTTGGAGAAGTGATTTTTACATTCTTGTGCTTGTCTATTTTTTAGGGTAAAATGGAGAATTTTTCAAGGAAAACTGTGGAATGCTATCTTTTACTTACAGAAAAATAAATCAAATTTATGTCTTAAGGAGGTTGTACAGGTGTTATTCAGAGGTCTAAATATAAAGAGTGTTGCTGAAACCAAAGTCGGACAAACTGAAAGGTCTAGTTACTTTTCTTTGGTCCCAGTCAACATCCTAAGCAATGTTCTTACCCCAACCTGAATGATGCAGAATACAGCAACAAAAACCTCCAAAAAGTGTTCCAGACGAAAATCCAAGTGGTACTGATAACTATTCTATGGCACATTAAAACCACTGAATGGGTACACAGGCCAAGTGTATATTGTTTAGAAATTATCTTAATGCTAAAAGTTGTTCTCTCCAAGTGACAGAGAAGCCAGCTCAAGGAAACTCATTTTGTTTTGTAAACACAAGGACTCTGGGAAACCATAGTCTTCTTCAAGGGTGTCAGTAGGGAGACTTCCAGGCAGAACAGTGGCATCTTTGTTCTTTTGCGCTTCTCAGGTAAGTCATGTCTCAGGGAGGCGTCTCTCAATTCTGTGAGACAAGTCATGCCAGTGACTACTTTGCTTTGAATGAGTCTGTTTATAGTTAGGTTTTAATTTGACGTAAAGGAATGGTGCATTTGAGGAGTTAAAACATGTATCTTGGTTTATTTTTACAGATAAATGAAATACTGTAAATAATTATTACGATAATCTGGTGTCGGGCGTATAAGGAACATCAATTCATTTTGCCAGCAGCCTCACCTGTCTGGGGTGCTTCCAGGAGTAAGGAGCTGGGGAGATTTTTCCAAACAAAATTTATCTCAGCAAGTTTTGGGGCTAGAACTTAGGCATTTAACTTAGAGGAAGCCTTTTCAACTTTCTCTTTGAGAGCATTTTTGCTCTTACCTTAAACTCAATATGTCAAGTTAATTCTGCTTTCCAGAGACAGTTAGCATTGTTAAAGACAGAAATATTGGGCAACAAGATGAAACAGGTGGCCGTGGAATGAAAGAAAAACTCGGAGAAATACTACCACAGCAAAACCCCAGGGTTTCTCACACAGGAGGCAACAATCCTGTCACCTCCCCAGAGGCTATTGCTGTTTTGGCCAGTTGCCTCTTTATATTATCAACTTTCTTTTTTAAAAAAAATACTTTATCAATTATTTGAGAAATTTATACTGATTTTGATCATACTCATCCCACCCCCAAATCTTCTCAGATCGACTTCCACATCCCTATCCACCCAATTTTGTATTATTTCCCAACCCCAACTGTGTTGCACAAATACTCTTTGGTGTGGGGCCTGCCCTTATATAATCAAGTTTCTAATGAGAACTCTTAACAATTCATGAGCTAGTTATAATGTTTTGACTGCTTATACAACGGAGGTTTACTTTTCAACTTGAAACAGGAAAGTTAATTTGGAAATCATTTGTTTGACTACAATCCTAGCACTCGGAAGGCAGAGGCAGGAGACTCTTGAGTTCAAACCCTGCCTGGACTGACTCACTGACTCTTTACAATAGAGTAAACAGAGAGTTCAGGAGCAGCCTGTTGAAAACCTCTCTCCCTCTCCCTCTTTCCCTTTCCCTCTCTCCTTCTCTCCCTTCCCCTCTCTCCCTCCCTCTCTCTCTCTCTCTTTCCCCCTCCCTTTCTTCCTCCCTCCCCCCATTTGGACTGACTATCTTGATTACAAAAATATTTCATTTTACAAAAATCACTGCCGGGGCTGGGGAAATGGCTCAGTCAATGTAGTGTCTGACACTCAAATATAAACCTCTGAGTTCAGACTCTCAGTACTCAGATAGAAAACTGAGTGCTGCAATGCCTGTCTGGAATCCAGCACCAGGGAAGTTGAGGTAGGTGGGTCCCTGGAGCTCATTGACCAGGCAGCCTAGGCAAATGGATGAATTCAGTGAGAAACCCAGTCTCTAAAAACAAGGTGGACAGCAATCCAGGAAGACACTTGACATGAGCCTCGGCCTCTACACGTGTGCAAACATGAATTTGTGCACACACTCACATGAATACACACCCACACACACATTTTAAAAATATATTTTTAATTACTCCATGATTCTTATTTAATTTTTGAAAGTTGTCTTAGTTTGGTTTCTGGTACTGTATTAAAATGTTCTGAGCAAAAGCTACTTGGGAAGGAAAAAGTTTGTTTGGCTTCCAGGTCCACCATTGGGGGAAGCCAAGGCAGAGACTGACGTAGAAACCACCGAGGAACACTGCTTATTGGCTTGCTCAGCTTGCTCTCTTACACAATCGGGACCACATACCTGCCCAGGAATGGTTTCCCCTACAGTAGGCTGTGCCCTCACATACCCTCACAGTTTAAAGAAGAAAATTCCTCAGTGGAGGCTCCTTCTTCCTGGGTGACTCGAGTTTGTTCCAAATAGGCAAAAAGTAGCACAGAAATTAATTAAACCTTTGAATAAAAAGATTCTCTGGGGGCTAGAAAGATGGCTCAGAGGTTAAGAACACTGACTGCTGTACCAGAGGATTGGGTTTGATTTCCAACACCCACATGTGACTTAAAAAACATCTGTAACTTGACCTAACATAGAACTCTCAACAGAGAAATCAAAAATGGCTGAAAGATGCTTAGGGAAATGCTCAGCATCCTTAGCCATTAGAGAAATGCAGATCAACAACTCTGAGATTCCATCTTATACCTGTAAGAATGGCCAACATCAAAAACACTGATGACAACTTATGCAGGAGAAGATGTGGGATAAAGGGAACACTCCTGCTTTGCTGGTGGGAATGCAAGCTGGTACAGCCCCTTTGGATGTCAGTGTGGTGATTTCTCAGAAAATTAGGAAACAACATTCTCAAGACCCAGCAATACCACTTTTGGGTATATATCCAAAGGATGCTCAATCGTACCACAAGGACATGTGCTTAGCTATGTTCATAGCAGCATTGTTTGTCATAGCCAGAACCTGGAAACAACCTAAATGCCCCTCGACCAAAGAATGAATAAGGAAAATGTGGTATATTTACACAATGGAGTACTACACAGCAGAAAAAATAGCGACATCTTAAATTTTGCAGGCAAATGGATGGAGCTAGAAAACATTATTTTGAGTGAGGTAACCCAGACCCAGAAAGACAATTATTATATGTACTCACTTATAGGTGGTTTTTAAACATGAAGCAAAGAAAGCCAGCCTACAAATCACAATCCCAGAGAACATAGACAACCATAAGGCCTCTAAGAGAGACATACAAGGTTCTAATCTACATGAGAAGTAGAAAATAGAAAAAGACAAGATCTCCTGAGTAAATTGAGAGCATGGGGACTTTGGGAGAGGGTTGAAGGGGAGGGGAGAGGCAGGGAGGGGAACAGAGAAAAATGTAGAGCTCAATAAAAATCAATTAAAAAAAACAACTAAGAACTAAGACAGGCTCCAAAGCTACAGAGAAATTCTGTCTCAAAAAACAAAAGGTATATGATACTTACCAATTTAGACTTTAAGAATAATACCTAACAGGAAAAGAGTCACATAATATTTTTTTGTTTAAGCCTATTTTTGACTTTAGTATTTCACTTTGCCCCTGACAAATTGGGAGTAATTTGTAGCTAATTTCTTTATAAACATAGACTAGAAGAACCAACTCCCCCGTTTACAGAGGTCCAACAACTGCCGAGGCTCCAAAAGTCGGCCTCAGCTTCCAGAGAGCTGCTTGGATCCAGGTCTAGCAGTCCCTGCAGGAGGAAGCATGCGCTGTCTGGAAGAGATGTGTGTGTTTGCGGTGCAGTCAGAGTGCTTGAATGTGGAGTAAACAGTGTTTGACCCTCACTTGGTATTATTGAATAGGTGACGTGAATGAGTAAAAATGAAGGAATAAATCAAGAGTTGATAAAGTGTAAAAACAAGATGTGTCAGGGATGCAAAAGTAACAGAACCTGTGTCAGAAAAGGGAAGTCTGGCAGCACTGAGAATAATTTCTGAGGGCCAGGGGTTGGGGGAAGACTCGATAGGGAAAGGTGCTATCCATGCAAGCCTGCCAACCTGGGTCTGACTCCAGAACTCCCATGAAAGTCTGGCTGTGGTGACAAGTATCCCAGATACTGAGATGGGAGACACGGGCAAGACACTCCCCCAGAAGCTCAGGAGCCAGCTGCCTGGAGTGTGCAACTCACCCACAAAATCAACAAGGTGCGAGGTAAGAACTAACTTCTAAAAGTTGTTTTCTGAGCTCTCTGTGGCCCCAGTGTCGGGCATGCATACAAAGTAATTGAATAAGAACTGATGATCATGGGGGAAAAAAAGCAAAAATGATTTTAAAAAAACATGCTGAATCAAAAAATAACCTGTGTTGGGCCCCAGAGGTGAGTCTATTTGCTATTATTCTGCTAAGCAGACAGACCACCAAACTGCCTTCTGGATTCGTCTCTATGCCAATAGAATGGGACGGCTTCAAGACCTCATCAGAGAAACCTCTTTGTGCAGTGCACAGTGGTTAACTCGGAAACTCACAATTGATGAAAGAGCAGAGAATGAGAGTCAGTAGAGTGCTCAGCTGAAAATGGGGTGTCTTTATCACCATCTCCCGAAGGCTCAGTGACTATTACAGAAAAGGGCAGGAAGATTTGAGGAGGCGGAACTCAGGGAGTGAAATAGTGTCTTCTAGAAGTAACAGCACCACCGACTCCTGAACTCAGGGCAGCTGTGGTTGCTTGCATAAGCCTTACACATTTATGTCGGTCAGAATCCTGGCATGAAGTGGGGAGCTCAGGATTCCTCACCCTTGGCTGAGAGGCTACTGACAGCAGATGGATCCTGAAAGAGAGTTTGGAACCACCATGCGGTGCTGGGAATGAAACCAGAGCTTCTTAGAAAAAACAAAACAAAACAACAACAACGCAGGACCACACAATATTCAACATATTCAAGGCCACAGAAGTAGAAAGTAGTCGAAACAAGACTCTAACTCCAGTCTGTTGGTGTTATGTTATGACTACTCTCTCCATCTACTCTGTTAGCCTAGAGTACAGTCTGCAGCGAGCGAGCGCTTGGGTAGCATTTGCACCGAGTAATGAGGAATTATGGCACTGAGACTAAAAACCTTTTACAACCTTGCTCTTTCATAGCTGTGTATGGCTATATAATGTTTTCAGATGCTACTTTTTTAATCTTTTAGCTCAGGCTGACTTCAAACCACTGTGTAGATGAAGATGGCTCAGAACTTCTGATCTTCCTGCCTTTATCTCTCTAATTTAGGATTATAGGCGTGCGTCCTGTGATGGGGGTTGAACCTAGGGCTTCACGTGTATTTGGCAAGCACTCTATCAACTGAGCTACATGCCCAGTTCCTGGGGGTTTTGTTGTTGTTGTTGTTTTTGTTTTGTTTTGTTTTGTTTTGTTTGGGGCAATTTTTCTGATGCTCTTCTGCATGGCTTCATTTCTCCAAGACAGAATGAAATCATGTTACTATTATTACCATTTCCCAAGCATCTGTAGCATACTTCATATAGAGCATATACTTAGACCTAAGAACTTCAAAATCCATTTTGTATTATCAGATCCTTCTTTTGCATCTCTTTTGCAAGTTGAATCAGCTTTGAATCTAATGTTCCCTTTCACTTATAATTGCTGAAACATTTATATTATGCAGTTTATGGATGCTCATAATTAGAAAAGGATTGAGAGACACATTTCCAATCATTTCATTTTAAAAAACAAGACAGAAAAAGAAAGACTTGAAATAATAATTCCATCATAGTTTTTTCGGAACTTGTTATATGCCATCCCTTGAACCAATTACCCATTCACTCACCTCTGACAATCCAGTGAAGTAGTTGCTATTTGCAGAACCCATTCTGCAATTTCTGCAGAGATGAGGCATAGTGATTTGTTCATAAGGCTAGTAAGTAGTAAAGTCAAGGTTTGAATCTGGACCCACCTAGCTTCAAACCTGAACTGTTTTTCAGCCACTACCTTATATGATCTGTCTAGGGGTCACTTAGCTTATCAGAGGCAATGAGGGAGCAGAAGGCAAGTCTGTAACATCTCAGCCCTGTCGTCTTCATTGCTATGCTACCTCAGATCTGTTATGTTTCTGGAGGCCATATCATCTGGGAAAACTGTGGAGCAGTTGAAAAAAAAATGACGGTTTGCTTGTTTCAGAAAAGGGTGTTTTGATGGTTCTAAGTGTACCCAGAAAACAGATTCTCCAGGTTCAATCTGGAGAGAAGGAACAGTGGTCTCTCTGCAGTGGTAATGCAGCACTTACATAAATAATGGAGAGGATGCCATTGTAGTTTTTGGTTGAAACATTGAGCACGATCTTTAGTTGTGAAACCAGCACTTGGAAGGCAGCAGCTGTTGTGAATCCACCAACCAAAGGGTCCGCCAAGTACCTCACTATGAATCCAATCTGCAAACCTCCAAATACCAGCTAGAGTAAGAAGAAAGAAAAAAGTTAGGAGTTTGCCTGACAGAAGAAATAATTCCCCAGAAATACTAGCAAATTAAACTTGTATCAGTGGAAACATTGCCCTCCACGGCATTACACGCTTACCCTCAGTTGAATCACATGTTCTGTTAGCTTTCTTGTCTCAGACTTTGGTGACAAGGGATTCGGGTTTTTGTTTGTCTGTTTTACTTGGTTTTTATGTTTTAAGTTTTCAAGGTTTTCAAAGTCATTTTAGAATCTGACAAAAACAATTTTACTTAGAAAATAACAGAACTAAAAGTAATTTTTTTAGTTCAAGGTGTTTGTTTTGCAGTTAGATGCATCTTTAAGCCTCCATATCTTAAAATTAATTATTTCAAATAGAAATCACGCTCATCTGTGTTTACACATAAGCCTATTTATTACCTGTATGATTCCAACCAGAAGAGTGAGGGTGCTTGCAATCAGTACTCTTGTCGCATCTCTGGTTCCAGTATCGAATGTGGTCATGTTTGATGCACTTCCGTTACCACTGGGCACAAGAAAATGGTCATCTGGAGCCATGCTCAGAACAACAGATCCCACCATTAAACTGACCACGGGGAAAGGGCCTGGGGAGAAAGGCTTTGTCAGCTAACCAATAATGAATCACAGACATTTGGATTCAACGTGTCTATGTACAATTAGAAAGGTGTGTGATAGTTGGCTGTAACAACTAACCAATAATGAATCACAGACATTTGGATTCAACGTGTCTATGTACAATTACAAAGGTGTGTGATAGTTAGCTGTAACAACTAACCAATAATGAATCACAGACATTTGGATTCAACGTGTCTATGTACAATTACAAAGGTGTGTAATAGCTGGCTGTAACTAAGGATTGCTGCTGGGAGAAGCTGAAGAGTAGCTATCTCAAGGCATTGCTGACTCAGAGAGGACACGTGGGCTGGAGGTAGGAGGCAGTAAAGCAGTGTTGGGCACACTTCGTGAGTTTACAGAAAGGGTGCCAGGCCCTCCTGTGTGGGATCTTCATGGCACAGGCTGTGGGAGTTATCAGAAAAGATTTCCTGGCAGAGACACACACAGACTGAATCCTTACTCATTCAATTTAATATTTATCCCCTAAATATGATCTCATCTTTTAGAGTGTCCCAAATCCTCATCTCCAGATACAAGTACTTCCATCAATATCATCCAGACTGACAAAGGATTGGAATATAGTTTCTTTTTATCATATGCCAGTTAATAAAATCCTATCTTTTTAAAGTTCTGATTTCTTCCATCTTACTATTTTTTCTATTTTACTTATCCTTCCTATCCTTTGATTACAAAAGATTCTAGGTTGAGAGGTCTCAATACTCAAACTTAGTAACCAGGAAAATCTAAACATAGTGAATGCCAGAGGCAAATCCACTTGTCTCTTTCTGAAGAAGTTGATTCAGTCAATAAGCTCCTCCTGATCCACTTCTGTAGACAGGTCGGAGGTCAATAAGCTCCTCTTGACCCTCTTCTGCAGACAGGTCAGAGGTCAATAAGCTCCTCTTGACCCTCTTCTGCAGACAGGTCAGAAGATAGGACCTGTGAGAGACACAGCCATGCACAAGGGCATTGGATAGGGTTGAGGATGGGATTATATTTGTCTCAAGAGGGTCATCCAGACAACATACCTCACCAGCACATAAATGGGGCAGCAAAGTTATCTTCATTGCTGGTGTCAAAGTTGCATAAAATCATATCAAAACATTTATTTGCTAGAATCTTCCAGAAAAATAACCTTGAATGTTAGGAACCAAAGGAAAACCCATTGTGAGTCATGCCAAGAAGGAATATAAAGCTTTTTCTAAATTGTCTTGGCAGGATTCTGCCAGCCTTCCATAAAAACTGAATCAGTGACATTCTTTACTGAAACAAGGAATATGTATTTGATGACCATAATTCAGTAAATACAAATTTAACCTAGCGATGTAAGTGGATTTAGAAACTGTAAAGATTTATTTTCTCTGTATTATATTGAAAGAGAGCACTTTTAAATAGAGCCAATTTTATTACATTTTAAATTTTAAGCTGTGATAAAACCAAAAGTAAGATTTAATTTTCAGTCTTTCAATTTCATCTTATTAAAGCAAAGTTACATATAAAGCTAAGAATGTCATTTAATAAAGAAAGTAGGCAAGGCAAGTTTGACTCCTCCAAGACTCACTGGCAAAGGTCTGGAGGCACTGTATATATAACATAGCAGTAACATTTTACAAATGGACAAACACAGCTGTAAAATATGCTTGTAATTACCAACTGAGATGTGTCTTGATGTCCCAAAGACAAAATACGTCAGGATAGGGAAAAAGGCAGAGTAGAGACCATATTCAACAGGAACTGCAGCTAGCAGGGCATAAGCCATCCCTAAAAGTGCAACCAACAAGGTAAAAGTCACAAACAAGAATCACAGCATGTCCGTACCACACAAAGAAAGGCTTTTTCATAGACATACTCAATTTATGGATTCAAAACATCAGCTGGTCCTGAGTGGTTTTCTTGTTTTGCATGCAGAGCTTGGCTATGCTAGGATGTGGAATATGGCTTGGCTGGGATAATGTATGTCTCTACACCCATATCCTGCTCGAATGAACTGACTCCATTGCTCAGTAATTTAGTCACTGGCTGATGATATCAGTTGGAAAACAATCAAATCAGTTCCGGTATAATTTGGTTAATCCAGTCCCAAAGCCCAGACCAGTTTATGTGGATAGTTCTGTTTGAACTCATATTTCTTTGTGTTCTGAAGGATTCAGGCATCGTTGTACTTTCTCTTTCCTGGCTAGAGAACAGAAATTAGATAAATATTGAGACAACTCTACCCTGGATGAGGGCAGCTGATCCCCCAGTGGACTGTGCCAGACAGTCTCTGGGCTTTGAATCTCAAGCTATGGAAAAACCAACATTTCAGCATGGGAGCTGGAAAAAGATAATGACATATTCTTTTCTTCAGTTAAATATTTCAGCAATCAGCATGCCTTAACACAACATATCTCCATAATTCATGCTTTAGGAGTGAAAATTCAGCCCTTCAAGTCGTTAATAAAAGACTGTTCATAATGATTTTTAAAACTTACTTAAAACTTAAATGACCCAATATATTTGCACTTAAATTTTATCTACTGAATGAATCTCCCAATAAAGAAACAGCTAAATTATACATAAACATGGTGAGTCTATGTTGAAAAGTGTTTTTTGAAGGGCGTAAAAATTTAATGGACTAGAACTGATGTAATATAAAGAAACACATTTCCCTAACACAACCAAATGTAAAGTAAAACTTTAAAGAAAGTTACATTTTAATTTATTTTGTGCATGTGTTGTGGAAATGGTGGGGGAATAGGTGTTTGCCACAGCATGCATGTGAAGGGGAGAACAGAGCTTTGGAGAGCTGGTTCTCTCTGTAGTTTGTGTCCCAAGGGGTCAAACTCAGAGCCTCATATTATAGATATCATGTATTGTTTGAAAATTTTGTATGTGTGCATGTCTGTGTGGCATACATGTGTGATGCATGCACTCATATGTGCTCAGGACATAGAGACTAAGGAAGACATCAGGTGCTCGGCTCTGCAGCTCTCACTGACCCTGGAGCTAGCGAGGCTGGGCCATCAGCAAGCTTCAGCAGTCTTCCCATCTCTGCCCCTTCACAGTAAGAGCACACCCTGCTTTTTACATAGGTTCTGGGCAGCAAGGGATCTTGACTGCTGAGCTGTCTCCCTGACAGGGTGCACTTCTGTAATACTTCAGTTACTACAAGGAAGCACAAAAATCAGCTCTCCCAGGAACTTAGAACAGAAAGAGGAGACATGCCAAAAAAATGATAGGAAAAGGAGCAGGGAGCATGAGGGCAGAGCCTGTTTGTTTCCTATGGACAGGTTTCAAGTCCTTAAACTTAGCATTCCCTGAACAAGGTGCTTCATTTCTCCTTCATTTTCCTTCTCTGTCCCTTCTCCTACACACCTTAATATGTGGGAAACGGGGATGTTTGCAGTTTTATACACATTGTTTATTTAGGGTAACTTTTATTCATGTAAAGTATAGTTATCTTTGTTTCAAAGAAACGTGGTACAACATTTTTGAAATAATATGGTTTGTAAAGAAAGCTAAACCATTGATTGGAAGTGTGAACTCTCCGCTGGGTGGTGGCATGACATGTAAGCTAAACTGAAGCTATCTCAAAGGAAAGGCCTTCCACCATGAGAGGAGACAACCAACAGACTGTGAATTTAGACTCCTTCACTTTAAAAAAAAAAAACTGAGCAATAAATTCATAATGTGTACTAAGTAAATCAATTAATGTCCGAGATAAAAACCAGACAGGAAGTTTCCTATAGTTAATAGTAAAAATACCAATAAAAGGCTTGTGGGGTCTTTTGTTGGTTAACAGAAATTTACTTTTTAATACTAGGAATCAAAAGACTCCACTACCTTGAGCACACACAAACTCCTCTCCCAGCATGTCCAAGGGCCCAGCTAGCAAGCAAGTCATAGACTGTCACCCCTGCAGCTGCAGGATAGCCTCTGGTGTCTCTGCTTGAGCCTTTCTCACGTTAGCTGTGGCCTGGAGCCCTCCAGCCTACCCACTCTGGAATCTTTACTGGGGCATCGCTTTGTCTTCATAAGACTTCTACTCTGAAGCAACCACTCAGTTCATACCACTGTGCTGTCTTGCCCTCACTTTCATCCTTGCTCGACTCAGCCCAACGGATTTCACAAATGTTCTCTTGTCTTCTCCCCACCTCCCTTATTTCACCTGGAAACCCCCAAACATTTATGTGCCCCTAAATAGCTTCCATGCAAGCACACAATCTAGACTGAGGCGTTGCACCAAGACTGGCTGTGCTCTAAATATTCTGATCTCAAGCCCCAATGGGCCCTGAGGTCTGTCTGGTGAGCCTTTCCACCGCCTGGCTGAGCTGCCTGGTTTTCAGCTGCACTCACCAGTACTTGGTGAAATGCCTCTGCCTCTGCCTCTGCCTCTGCCTCCTGAGTGCTGGAATTAAGGGCATGTGTTACTACTCCCTGGACATAGCTAGAGTTTAACGCACAATTTGCCTAACGTTTATTATAAACTTCTAAACTAGCCTGTTTTCAAGCCCTTTCTCCATAGGCCCATGCCCTGCATCACTTCCCACCTCTCGACAAACTCAGATGCTACCTTCAGGAGAACTCGGACCAGGAAGCTATCCACAGCCCCATAAGAAGGGGTAAAATGCACAGTGCTGGCACTGTCCTAGTAGAGAACATTATTCCTGCCACAGTTCTCAGAACACTAAACCATGAACATTCATTTCCCATGGGGTTATGAGATCCTTCGCTGCATCTTAGACTTGGTAATTTACCTAGTTCTGCAACAAACTAGGTGATCTGTAAATTGCCCAAATAAATTAGTTCTGTTGTGATGTAGGAGCTTTGGGGAAGTTGGAGTAAAACCCAAACTAAGATAGTTCTCTCTTTTTTTTAAACAGCTTTCACACTGCAGGTCAAGATCTGTATGGGAAATGGAAATAAGGTAATTTAATGAGCTGGAGGAATTGGTTTTTAAAAACCATCAGAACAGAATAAAGACTATCAGAACATATTACTTGTAGTGAGGAGAAGTATTACTTTACAAACTTTAGCTGTGTGCATACATAACAGAATACATGCGTATTTCTTACTGTGTACCGTGGTCAGTATCTTTGCGGAGCTCCAGCTTGGTACATGCCTATAATCTGGAGTCACACAGCCAGAGGAACAACAATGTTCCCTAGGGAAATTCTTTATGAAAGGGAAGACAGGTGACTCTAAGATACCCTAGAGAAGAATGAAGGACTTGAGAGAAGAGTGAGTGCTTGGTCCATGGGGAGAGGAGTGGGACATCATGAATCCCTGTGGAGACAGTAGCTCACAATCACTTGAGACCTATCCGCCAGAATCTTACCTTGTAGGGTAGCCACTAGTCCAGTGCTAACTCCAGAGATGACATCACTGAGCAACCATTCCTTGACTCGGTATTTGGGGAGCCAGTCCAGAATGGGCAGGAGAGTCTTCAGTACACCAAAGGCTCTCTTTCTGGAGCAACTGACGAAAAGCAGGAAAATAAGAGGTCTGTATTCAGTTTTGACCAGAACCAGTTGCAAATCACAAAGTCACGAACCGAATTCTGCTACTTTTTTCTAAGTAGTCAGAAAAATAATGAGTTCCATGAGGAAAATATAGACACCGAAGTGCTTGCAGTGTTGTTGCCAAGAATTGTATCTATCCTTTTAAATGCACTGTTTTAGGAAACACAGGATTAAATGTCTCCTCCCCTCATTCACCTTTTTAATCCTCTGAGAAAATATCCCTACACAAGAACCAGTTTTCTAACACAACCAGAATATAATCAGTGTGGAGCCTCTGTGTGAGATTAATTTTTAGGCTCCTAACACTGGCATTGCCTTCTTTAAAGAAAAATAAACACAGGGCTATTTTGGCAATACAAGCTTAGAGCCACTTTTTAACAAAACTTGTAGTGTGATGAATTTATACCATGTTTAACAGTTGTAAATTTAACATCTTATAGATAAAAAGAAAAATGTCAATAGATAGGAATTCCACTTTTTAAAGGTAATTTTAAAAATTGCATTTATGAAATAATTGCAAAGTTTAATAGGTCATCCAAGTTTGATATTAAGAGATTATTTTAGGTGGATAATAAGACATAATTATATATTTTTAAATTCTCAGAGATACACACTAAAAAATATATATGGTGGCTCTCCTTATCTGCCACATGATTTGAGGATTCAACCTATTGCAGATAAAAAAAAATAAGAAAAATGTACTAAACATATGAAGGGGTTTCCCCCACTTATTTCCTAAACTTTACAGTGTGACACTGGTTAACAGTACAGTTGCATGATACTAAGTATTATAGTCTAGAAATAGTTAAAACCGCCAGGAGGTGTATGGGTTATGAGAACATTAAGCTTGGGAATTTGAGGAGTGTGCTATGGGGGTCCTAAAACCAATCTCTTATAGATATCAAGGGAGAACAGTAACAAACCAAAGATCCAATACATGGAATTTTTAAAAATCGTGCTGGCAAACCTGGAGGTGATGGCACACACCTTTTTTTACAGTACTCAGGAGGCAAAGGCAGGAGAATCTCTGTGTTCAAGGCCAGCCTGGTCTACAGAGTGAGTTCCAGGACAGTCAGGGCAACAGAGGAATCCTGTCTCAAAAACAAAAACGAAACAAAACAAATCTCAAAGAATTAACAAAATATTTTATTAAAATAATGCTAGAGGAAGCATGTGAGTGGCAGTGAGAGAGATATTAGGTAATTGAAGTGTTTCTTCAGAAAATCTGGCGATTAGTTAGTTGAGTGTCTGCCAAATGTTTTAAGTTTATGGTATCTGGTTCTGGGACTCAATGGGGTGTAGGGACGTGGTGGTTAACCCTAGGGGACCCACTGCCTTCTGAAGCACTTGGAACACCTGTCTCCCCGCTTTAATCCCAGGTCTCTGAAAGTAATCCTGACCTTGGTGTGTCCAGGCTTGTCCATCATCGGTTGCTAAGAGCCCCTTTCCTAACGCTTTTCCCTAGCCTGGTTTTCACAAGAAGGAAACAAGCAGTCACTGGACCCCAAGGTGTACTTCAGCTTTCATTTGGAAAGGGAAAATTTAAAAAGTGAAACAGGAGTGGAGTCGTGGACAGACGCCTCCTTCTCCAATAAGGAGTTTCTCCAGACAAAGTTGCAGTAATTCCAGGTCTGTCCTGGAACTGTGCGAGGAGAAGCACAAGCGCGGCAGGTACACCGCCCCGCCGCAGGGCAAGTGCTTCTTCCCCTGGAGTGTCGCCCCCGGAACCTGCCAGTTGCCCCTGTACCTGCAGCTCCGCGCCAGGCTGTCCCGCAGCGTCCTACGCTCCTGCAGGCGCCGCTCTCGCTGCTGCTGAAAGGTGAGCTCGCTGTACACCGGCCGCGACACCACGTAGCTGCAGCCGTACTCGGCGAGCTGCGGCGGCTCCGAGCGGCTGCCCGGCGCTGCCATGGTCTGCGAACCCGAGGACCACCGACCGGGAGGGGACGCAACGATGAAAGACAGGCACCTGGGCGCACGGATCCAGTGACACCTGTGGTTGCGGTGCTGGAGAGTCAGTCCGGTCCTGCAGTCCTTGGCGCTTGGGACAAACCGCCCCTACGGCCACCTGAAGGAGGCAGCTGAGGACTTCAGTGTCTCCCGCACCAGATACCCGGGAACCCCCGCTGTCCTGGGAGTGAGCTTCTCTTTGGGGACTTGGGGGTGCAGTCAGGGCGCTGTCCGCGTCCTGAAATCTCCGCCGGACGGAACCCGGGCGGGTGAGACAGGGAAAGGGTCCCGTACTCCCCGCACTCAGTAGGACTCGTTGCTCCACGCACACTCTGGGCTGCAGCAGTGCTGTCCCACTTGGGGACAGGTGCAGCGACTTTCCCGGTCCGATACCTACTTTGCTTTTGTCTCGCCTTTTCTGTTGCCTGTCCTGCCTTGCCCGCTGGCGCCTGACCTGTCCCATCCCTAGAGAGTTACAACAGGGCGGGGTGCAGCCAACTGCATCTTCTGCGATGAACTCACCTGTTTGGGCTCCGGTGCTCTCTGCCTGTCTGGAATGCCCTGGGGACAGTCTTCCCGCTGCCTTTATAGTGCTCACCAAAAGCAGTGGGACGTTTTATTTATGGGGCAACAGAGGCACCTTGATCGAACAGAAGGGCGCAGATACAGCAATCTTTCCTCTACAAATCTTAACCAGGAAAAAAAAATCCCTCTCCTGCGTCCTTTCCCTTTCCCAAACTCAAAGGGCTGTGACTCTTAATGGGTGTCTCACAGGGGCCACCGGATCTCCGCTCATCTCACGACTACTTGGGCTGTGAGGTCAGGGAAGGCCAGAGCTTCCATGTTGGGGGACCCTGGTTCCTGGGCTGTCAAAATCCACAGTCTAGTTCAGGCTCAGTTACATCAAGTGGAGAAGTCAGTGGGTGTGGTAAAGAGGTTATGGTCCACACACCGGCTTTAGGCACAAATTCTTTTCACTTTGTGCATGTGTCTAATTCACAAACTCAGGTGTGTAGGTGGCCCCTTTCTCACCTGTCTCTCTGACTCTTTATAATCTAGATAATCAGGAGGTGAACCACTGGGAGGAGCAAGAATCAAGACAAGGAAGAGTGGGGGATTCTGATACTGTTTTATATTCTGTTGGAAATATAGCAAGTTAAAATAAGGGCAGAAGGTCATTCATGCCTGGTTAGTGTTCTGAAGCAAACGCGGAAGAGGCTCAAAAATATGGACCCTCTGGACACCAGGTTTCAGTCACCCTCTTGGGAAATACAGACCATGATAATTTTATAAATTCCCGGAAACAAAATTTCTCTCAGGAGAACTCTAGTGTAAATCCCCTAGCCAATATGTTGCAAGCGTGTGTGGTTTCCCCCCCATGAGGGATGAATGAGTCACCAGTTTTCAACAGATATTCAAAGGATTACTCGACCCAAAGAGGTCAAGAACCAGTCAGGCATGGTGGCATGCATCTATGATCCCGGGACACTTGAGAGGCAGAAATAGGAGGGGTCACTTGAGTCCATGAGTTTGAGACCAGGTTGTGCAACAGAGAGGGAGGAAGGAACAAGAGAGAGAGAGATTTTAAAATGATTAAAAATGAAAGAGACCTTGTCCCACTCTCAATCCACTCTCTGCTGCTTGTATACAGCCAAAATGTGATCATCCAGCTTCCTGACTGTTGTCATGCCTTCCTGCCATTATGGACTGTAACCCTCAGGAACAATAAGCCAAAACAAACTGTTTCCTTTCTAAATTGCTTTTGGTCATTGAAACAGAGAAGAAACTAACATACTGTAAGAATTTGGTTCAGTGTAATAATACATATGTGTGAAGAGGTATTGATGAAATGTAGTAGTTTATATAGTATTGTAGAGAATTAATAATACTAAGAATAAACCTGGGGAGCGGTGAGATGGCCCAGTGAGTAAAGCAGCATGCCACTAAGACTGCTGCCAACCCGAGTTCAATTCTCAGGAGAGAATTACTCCTATTATTATTCTCTGACTTCCACAGCATTCTATGCTACTTGCACACCCTCAAAGCTAAGTAAATGAAATGTAATAAAACTTTTTCTGGAATTTGGTTTAATCACCACTTTGTAATATGTCCCGTTAAATGTCTTTTCTATAGCAAAAATGAACATCCATGAACAGAACAGCATCTGCATTACAGAATTTCATAATATCATAGATCTTCTCATAGCTAAAAGACTTTGGCTATCTTTTAATAGCTAAGTGGATCAGCTAGAAGGTTCACTGGGTAAAAGGCTCTTGCTGCCAAGCCTGATGACCAGAATTTGTTTTTTGAGACATACAAGAAAAAGAACTGACTTCTACAAGTTGTCATTTGATCTTCATATGCCCCCACACAAAATAAGTAAGTGAATTAAAAATAGATGAATAAATAAAACATAAAACCAGAGAAGACTTGGAGGTAAACACAGCTGCTCTCCATCTTCCTAGTTACATTAAACTCCTCGGATTACTCACCCTGACTTTATAAATCAAGTCTCACCTGTTTTACATAGAAGTGGGTAGGTCTTATTTACCAGAATTTAATCACATCCAGGGTTTTTACCAAAGGAGTGAGTGTGTCACTTCAAAATTGACATCACAGGGCAATACTGCAACCGTATGACACTTCTTCCTTCTCGGCTGTTGCTGCTTACAGGCCAGGTGAGGTGGAGCCCTGCAGTCATTCCGACACCCAGGAGGCAGAAGCAGGAACAGAGCCAGAATTGCAAGGTCAGCATGGTCTACACAGAAAGTTCCAGGCCTGGATTAGAGGAATGGCTCAGAGATTAAGGGCACTGACTGCTCTTCCAGAGGACCTGGGTCCAATTCCCAGCACCCACATGAGATTAAAACTCCCTGTAAACATAATTCCAGGGGACCCAGCACCCTCACACAGACATACATGCAAGCAAATCATCAATGCACGTAAAATAAAATATAGAAGTTCCAGGCTAACTGGGGCTACTTGATAAGGTCCTGAATCCTGTCTCAAAAACAACCGTCCTGAAAAACAAACAGCAAAGAAAGCATTGTCACTTGGGCTCTCGGAGTGTCAGACTATCCTACGATTAGATATTCATATCATTTATTCAAGAGTTTATTAAGAATTCATCCACACACACACTGAGAACTAGGCCTGTGGTTGCACACTGCCTGAGATGTTCAAGCTGTGAGCCCACTTGTACTTTTGTAATTGGAGATAGTAGCAATGGCATCAAAAAGAAAAGCTACTGCATCTTGGTGTTCTCATAGAATATATGCAAGATGCTGGTGACAGTATCATGTGATGGTTTGGATGTGAAGTCTCCGGAATGCCTACAGAAAGCTCAGGGATTCCTACTTCACTTTCCCATGGTTCTCCCCTCGTGGAATCCTTCTCTGGAGCTCTCTCTCTTATGAGGCTGCACATCCTTGAAATTTTGAAGAGCAGTACATGGCCTGGCAGGAGTCTCGCTGGGCAGCCTCTGCATGACAGCAGAACCCAGGCATCCACAAGAGAAGGTGAGCACTCCATGAAGAGGAGGAGCTGGAGCTGGGTTTAGATGATGAGCTGGAATGTGAGCTGAGTGGTGTGGAAATCACCAAGGAGCTCTCCTGCCTGTACTTTGCAGAGACTGAGAACGAAGACCAGACCGAGATAGAGAAGGCAGGGCTACAGTGACAGCACAGCTGGATGCTGATGGCCTGCATGAATGTGAATGCTGACCACTGGCCTGTCCTATAACCTCCAGCAGTCTGTGGATCCCCCATCTGAGAAGCCCAGGGAGCGATAAGAAGTGTCCATGGAGGACGAGTACTGTGACAGAAGCAGCCTAAGTACCGCCTAGTGTTTCACATGTTTAGTTTCCTTCTTTTAAACCTTCCTGCATGTCACAAAAGCCTTAAGACACGTGTAATTCATTCATTCATTCATTCATTTCTTTTGAGACCAGTTCTCATATAGTCCAAGCTAGCCTCAAACTCTTAAGTCTTCCTGCTTCCACCTCCCAAATTCTAGTTTACAGATGAGCACCCCACACTGGACTCTAATCCACATATTCTCACTGACTATCACCCATTGGGTCCCTCTGAAAATGATGCAAGTGTACAGTAAAGCAAATATCAATTGGCAGCATTTTCCGTATTAGTGAATCATAAAACCTGTTTTAGAATTAATGGCACCTTTTAATTAATGACACATGATATTTATATAAAATCATAATTATATCTATACTTTCAAGTGACTTGCTAAAAGATATAATTTGAAGAATTGAAATGATGACTCAAAGGTTAAGAGCATTTGCTGCTCTTGGAGAAGAGCTTGTTCAGTTTCTGGTACCTAGGTGGTGGCTCAAAACCATCTATAACTGCAGTTACAGAGGATCCACCACCCTCTCCTACTTCTGTGGGCAGGGCACAAATGTGATGTACAGACATACATACAGGAGAAGTATTTACACACATAAAAATAAGATAAATAAATATTTTAAAAATGATGCTAGTCCTTTGATAACTTAAGAGCAATCAATCTGGCTACATTTTTCTTGTCTAAAGAGAAGCAATGCAAATCATTTTATTTTATGCTTGAAATTTAAATCATTAATTAATCAGGAGAATTTTAAAAGGATAAAATGCTAATAATTTTACACAGCCCCACCTAAGACAGGGTTTCTCTGTGTACCCCTGGCTGTCCTGGAACTCACTTTGTAGATCAGGCTGACCTTGATCTCAGAAATCTTTCTGCCTCTGCCTCCTGGGTGCTAGAATTTAAGCATGTGCAACCCCTCTTACTAAGAGTCCTGTTTTTAAAAGAAACCCTAATTATGATTCTTATAATTGTCCATGTTTGAAATGTATCATCATTATTTTAAGGTGGACTTCAATTGAATTACTTCTCTCAAGAGACCACATTTGGAAATCATGGTGATTCCCACTTACACTAGAAGCTCACATTTCAGACTGGCGCTGACACCGTGAAAAGACAATGACCAGGAAGTTCAACTATAATCCTAAATTTCTGCTTTTTAATTCCTGTTAATCTTGTCAATAGATGTTAAATTCTGCCATTTTTATACAAGAAGAGAATGTAAACTTCCAACATTTCTAATCA